CTGAGGTGCAGTGTTTATTTGCTGGCTACAGCTCCAGATCCCCTGGTCTGTCTCCGGCAGTGCTGGGTTTGACGTTGACTGACTGATTTATGGGCTCCCGCAGCGCACCGCACCCTGGCACCGCCTCATGTGAAGGCGGGATCGAATCCGAGCCGGCTGGCTCCGCGTCCCACGGCAAACCGCCGTCTGACCTGCTTTACTTAAATCTGTGATTGACTACCTGAAGAAGGAAAGAGCGAGACCAGCCAACTCAAACGAGTGTATCATTTCTCTATCATTTAGTAAGCTCGTATGTTCGGGCTGAGAAGTCTTGCTTCATGCCCTGCTTGGCAGCTCCTCACCCGGCTGAGATGAGGCGCCTTCGATGCTGCCAAACTGGCAGCCAGTCGGCCTCAAACCAGAGGATTACATTTAGTTACTTTCCAGGATAATGTCAATACCACCCTGATGGCCTGGATGGGGTCCTCTATTCACAGACTGCCTTGGCTTGTGCCTGATTTGAAACAGAATAAAGAACGATTTTGGATATCAAAGCGGTTTCAGCTCAGACCTGCAGGAGTGCTTTCAGAGCACAGGAAAGAAAGTCCCTCTTAAAAATAAAGCCTCAGAGTTTCTCTTTTCTGCACATTCGGATCCATTTTGGGATTTTATGCTGCTGCGAGTGAGCTGACAGGATTATCTGGGACAGCTGATTGGCGTGTGGCTGCTGCTTAATGTCAGACTGCGTGAAAAGACTTAGCCACAAGTTTCCTTCCTTCTCCTGATACGCACAAAAAACACATTTGTGTAGCTGTGTTTGTTTTACAATTACCTTTGTTCAATTAGTCCATGTTTCTTCACAAGAAGCACTTTTCATGGCACGAATAATCTCTGCCCACTGAAAAATAATCACTTCTTTTTATATCAAAGCAATAGGAACAAACACTCGCGCTACAAAACCACAAAACACAGACAGTTACTGTAAAACTTTATCTCCTCAGTCCTTCTGACTGACGCCTGATAAAACAGATTTATTGTGGTTCCTGTTCTGGCTCCGCTTTGATCAGCGTTTAGCATCTTCAGAGTTCCTCCTTTTTTTATCCCAGTCTGTTCTTCAGTTTTTAATTTTCTCACTTGCCCGAGTTTCTTTCCAGGTTTTAAACTTGATGGTTTTCTTCAGCTGCTTTGAAAGCATCAAACATTGAATCATTTTGCACATTTAAGGGCTTAAACGTGTCATTCGAGCTGGGCCAGAGTTTTCCTCCTTTGTCTGTTGCACATTATTTTATTCAGCTTGTTAAAGCCGACTTATAAAAAGTTACCAATCATCGTCAGCTTCGTATCTGTCTGCAGCTCATTTTCTCTTTGTCACACTCATTGACTCGTTTGTAGAGAAACGGGCTGTTTGAGGCTTCAGCCGTCTGAACCTGTGACCAGTGCAATCACAAGCGTGCGTGGGCAAAGACACCGTGAACTTTCAGTCGCTGTTTTTATGAGTCCGGCTGCTCTGCACTGGCCAACGCAGGGTGACTCATTTTCTCAGCATACCAGGTTTCTGGGCCACTTCCCTGTAACTTTGCCTTCATTCTTCACTTTCCTTTGGATGAGCTGGCAGCTATTTCCCTTTTGTTATTATTAATGGCAGTTAATGAGCGATCCACGGGACGGAGGTTAGCTTCAAAGGCAGCAACATGGCCACAGAAGAGTTCATCTGTTGTAGTTTTAGCTGTGAGAACAGTAGGACGTTTCAATATTGGGGGGAACCCCCCGGGGCTTAAACTCCTTTTTATGGCAGTTTTTCATTTTGCTCTTGGTTCGCCCTTAAAGCCTCCTCTGTGCAACGGGAGACAAGGCGCTGACCCAGAGGAAAGAGGTGAAAGAAAGAGGAAAGAAAACAAACCAGAGCTTCTGACCTCGGAGTCGCGCCCTCGTAATTCGTTGTATATTGACATCAGGTCAGCGGAAAACCGTCAGTGCTGCGTGGAGGAATGGATCAGGAAATAATTTTGCTCGTCAGGCGTTGGCATTTAGATTCTTGCTGTATCCATTTCTGAACTTTGTGTGTTTGCAGAAATGCAGCCCCCACTCAGGGTCCGGCCTCGTGCAGCTCACGCTGCTCTTTGCTTCGTTTTCATATCTCTGTTTTCCTTCTCCTGCTTCTTCTCAACATAAACTTGTTTGCTTTCTCTCCCACTGATCTCCTGTTCCTTTCCCACCAACCAGTGTTTCCTCTTCCTAATCACCATTCCTTTCTCTCCAAAGGTCACAATTTGGTTTCTGCAAACACCCTTAAAGAAATTTTCCCCGTTGTTCTTTTACGTGTTTGTCTTCTTTCTTTGTCTGACCGTTTATTCTACCTTCATTAATACCTCTCGTCTGCCTGCCCACCTGTTTTTCTGTGCTGTTGTCCCCCAGTGCCATCTGGGAATGTGGTTGGAGGTGTGCTCTCCATATATCAGAGACTCAAACTCCAGCTGTCATCTTCCTGGTAAAAAACTAGGATGATTGCAGATGCTGCCCAGTGAGGCGGGATAAGCACACAGGAGCAACTTAAGTTCATCAGCGTCAACGCCTTAAATTCCAGTTTTATTTGGGATTAATCAAGGAAAAGATGCACTGTGGTGTTAGTGGGTTGGAACTACAAATACATCAACCTGACTGTTACTGGTTTGTCTTTTTTTTATTATTCACTAAAATCAACTAGTGTCCCCATAAAATGTTTAAAAATCTATCTAAAATCTTTTCAGCTGTTCCGATTAAAAAACAAAAACAGTCGGGCACATCGACTCCTTGCAAAGTGGAAAATTGTAATTTTTAAACATTTGGGCAACAATTTTTTCACAGTTAGCAAAAAGAAAATGAAATGTATTTAATTATTGAACTTTAAAGACACTAATGAGCCGTCGACCAAGAAAAACTAGCTGCTTTATTCATTTTGAGTCTTAATGCTAAGCTACGCTAACCGGCCTCTGTTCCCACTGCATACGAGGGTGTTAGCATGTCTCATGAACTGTGTTGCCAACGCCTCAGTAAGGAAAATCGCTATTGGCTGTCCTAAAGTCGATAAATGACGTCATCGCCTAATTTGCATAATTGGTCAAGCTAATATAATTGTAACCTACGTTGTTGGAGAGAGAAATAACATCGTGGAAGAGACATAAAGTGAGTAAAAAACGTCCTAAATGCATTTAGAGTTTATTTAGAGCTTCGAATTAAATTTCTTTTAGCAATTAATGTTTTTAGTAATATCACAATTCCAACCCTGCTCCTTTATCCGGGCTTGGACCGGCAAAAGTGACCCGAAATAGGCACTCTGGTGGAGTTACTGTGTGTGTGTGTGTTTATAAGTAGTTTTAAACCTGATCCACAAAACAGCATAAGAGTAAAAGAAGAACTGACTGCGTTACAGTCAGTGCGGCAGCGGCGGCTTCGCTCATGCGCGATTCATTTGCAGTTTGGACGCACAGGTGTCTTAAGAGCAACCCGCACTTTCACGTCATAAATAAGTCTCCAATAACACCATAAAAAGTCGCTAGATTTGTCGCTAGTCGCTTTTTAGAAAAAAAAGTCGCTAAGGGGTCTGAAAACCCGCTAAATATAGCGACAAAGTCGCTAAGTTAGCAACACTGCTCATGAAGCCGAACTGGTCTGAAACCCGGACACCAGCTTTAACGTCGCTCTGTGTCTAGCTTGGTGTTAGCATGCTGTCTGTGCTTACAAAGAGCTTAAGCTGTGTTTGCAGCATAATGCGGATGTTTCTGTCCCTGTTGCAGTTTCCACTCTACCATTGCGCCGTTGTCAGTTTTTGCAATAAAAATAACGTCCATATTTCCACCCTCGAGACCTGTATCGATGGACCTTCTCTCACAGAAACCGAAATAATGTAATGTGATTACAGTATCTCGTTACTTTGTAATGCATCACAGCCAGCACTGTGTGTGTGAGTGTGTTATAGTTATAAATATGAACGTGTATGTCATGTAAAGTGAGAGCAGTGTAGAGTGCTGGGTGACCGGAGTCCATTCAGCATTTCTTAATTCGACATTTCTGCCTTTGAGCTGATGTTCTTAGAAAGAAACGGGGCAAAGGTATTTCTGTTAGCTCTGGTGTTGAGCTGCATCATGGGAAATGGAGTATCCAGCAGTCACTTAGGGACCAGAACTCAGAGCATCTCAGCTCTGCCAACTTATTTTATGAGTCTGGTTTGTACTGCTTCGTGTTCGGTGTTAAAAAAACTTTGAGTTTCTGTTTTCACAACACGATAAATTAAATCCTGGGGGTAGAAAATTGTCCCTGTGGCAAATTATTTTACTATGAGCATCTGGATCAGGCTTCATCCAAACTCACCACACTGCGGTCCGTCGCTACTTAGTCATGCAATCGGCAAATGACCAACTGGGATGACTGCAAACACTCGTCATTATACGCTCTGGACGGTCACTGAGGATAACAGTAGTTTAGCCACACAGCTGGCCTGAGTGTCTCGTGCTTGCACGAGTCTTTGACGACCGATTGGCTCCTCCTTTAAATATACAGAGGTGTTTTTATTCACGGATGACTGAGATTGTAGAGCTCCTCTCATTAGCTTGTAAAACAGACCTCAGTCCTGACGGCATGTTTATGTGTGTGTTTGAGTGTGTGAGCAGACCCAGTCGGTTCTAGATGTGGTTTAGCCATTTCCTCTGAGGAAAACTCTGTGGCTAACCTTTAAGGCCAGACAAGCAGCCGTGAGCTGTGATGAGTGTTACATCTGTCAGACAGGGTCAAAGTTTGCTCTCTACCGCTAAGGATCAGAGCCGACTACCAGCAGGTCTGTGCCAGAAATCAGGGCGGCCGGGCATATCTTTGAGAGAAAGGAGGACTCTACACATCCTGTCTCTCCAAGCTTAGAAATGAGCATCGAAGGAAAACAAAACACTGAGCTGAAGGCCTCTTGCATTTCCCTCCCACCCACCCTGAGAATACCTCAATCCATCACTTTACAGTGCTTTCATATCAAAGTTTGTTTTTTCTGAAAGCAGAGACCGAGCAGGTTCTGGGCTCCTCAGAAATGAGCTGATGTGTGTGTTTAATGATGTACTGAAGTGTGCTGGCAGCAGTAAGTAGCGTGTTTCTTTGTTCTTTTCTCTATCAGACCCAATGTGTGCGGCTCTCGCTTCCATTCATATTGCTGTCCAGGCTGGAAGACTCTGCCGGGAGGAAACCAGTGCATTGTTCGTAAGTTCCCCACATCGCAAAACTCAGCGGAGAAGAAGCAAACAGGCAGAGCACGATTTGGTTTGTGTGATTATGTATGGTCACTAGATCTACTCTCCTTTCCGCTCTGTCTTGGTCTTTTCGCTCTCCAGCGATTTGCAGGAATTCTTGTGGCGATGGCTTCTGTTCCAGACCCAACATGTGTACCTGCTCGAATGGCCAGCTTTCCCCGAGCTGTGGAGCAGGAGGTCAGTATCCACACACACATACATTTGATATGTATCAAACAGTATCGCCGTCACTGTTACACCACAACCAAAGCAGGATCCTTTCATGCTTAAACCAAACTCTGCCACCTTAAAGCCAAAGCAGAGACTGAGACCAGGAAACCTTTGCTTAATCTTCTGTTGTCCAGCTTTGGTGAGCCTCAGTGTTGTTAGCTGACAGGAGTGACGTCCTGTCCAGCGTTACCTTCCTATCAGCTCCAAACAGGCTGGTCATTCTTCTCTGTCCTCTGGCATCAACACAGCATTTCCCAGAGTTCTGCGACTCACGTGACGTTCCTTGTTTTTCAGACCATTCCTGGTAAACTGTGACTGTGTGGAAAATCCCAGCAGTTTCTGAAATACTCAGTGTGGCACCAACAAACATGACACATTCAAAGTCACTTTAATCACCTTTCCTCCCCATTCTGATGCTCAGTCAGCAGATCATCACCACGTCTGCATACTTAAATAACCTGCTGCCATGTGATTGGCTGATTTGGCATTTGTATTAGGCAGCAGTAGATTAAGTAAATCAAACAAAGTCGCTTTCTCTCTTTGCCCAAAGATTAAAACCTCTGAAAACTCAATACACAGAATATCTAAGCAGGACGTAGCCAGCAGTGTCTTAGCATAAATATGAGAAGACCCGTCGAGTTATTCAGAAGCAGAAAACCTTTAGCTGCTTCTGCAAATAGTCGGGTACCAAATTCATGTAAAATGACATCATGTAAGGGTCATAACTAGGGATGGGTATCGTTTAGGTTTTATCCAATACCGGTACCA